ACTCCAAATAAAAAAATAATAATAATAATAATAACTAAAAAAAATTAGCCAGACCCAGAGGCGTGCGCCTGTGATTCCAGCCACTTGGAGGGCTGAGGCAGAAGGATCACCTGAGCAGGTCGAGACTGCAGTGGCTGTGAGCGTGCCACTGTATTCCAACTTGGGTGAGAGTGAGACTCTGACTCAAAAAATAAATAAAAGCTAATGGTGGAGAATCTAGCATACAAAAACTTTAACCTTAGTCCCTTCCAAGTTGTTGACTTGTTCAGGATTTTAAGAGGCTTGGGTCTATCTCTGCAGTTTATCCAGTAAAGCAAATTAGAGGACTCGGGCTGAAATGACCTCAGCCTACGCTTGTTTCAGGGATGCTGTCATGGCAAAAAATATTTCTGGAACTCCTTCACAGCTTTTTTACAAGCCACATTTAAATGACTCATTACTTCAAAATGACTTTTAAAGCCAACTTTATCATGCATCTATTCCCCAGATTTGTTCCAGATTATTCCTGGGAGTTCCCAGATTTCCATTCTTAGCCTTCCTCCTGTTCTCTCCTTCCTTATTTGTATTTATGCCTAGCATTTCTTGATCACCTCTGGGCAGATAACTACATCTTTAGCCCCAACTTCTTGCTTTTAAGCTCCAGACCCACATTTCCTGGCTAAAAACACCATGTGGAAGTACTTCCAACCTAGCGTTCCCCAAATAAAGTCATTATTTCACCCCTAAAACCTGCTCACCCTCTTTTACTTCCTACTTAGGTTAACGATACCATATCCTCACCCATGAGGGCTGGAAACCTCCGTCTTTATGTCTTTATCTGTGACTCATTTTTGGTTACGTGCCCAATTTTTGTTTTTGTTTTTTTAAGAAACGGGTCTTGCTCTGTTGCTCAGGCTGGAGTGCGGTGGCTCTATCATAGCTCATTGCAGCCTCGAACACCTGGGCTCAAGCGATACTCCTGTGTCAGCCTCCCAAGTAGAGTAACTCAGACTACAGATGTGCACCACCATGCCTGGCAATAGTGCCTCTTTATTAAAGGTTGTCAGGGCCGGGCTCTGTGGCTCACACCTATAATCACAGCACTTTGGGAGGCCGAGGTTAGAGGACTACCTGAGCCCATGGGTTCAAGACCAGGCTGGGCAACTTGGTGAGACCTCATCTCTACAATAAATCAAAAAATTAGCCGGCCTGGTAGCACACACCTGTAGTTCCAACTACTTGGAAGACTGAGGTGAAAGGATTGCCTTAGCCCAGCAGGTCGAGGCTGCAGTGGCCTTGAGCATGCCACTGCACTTAAGCTTGGGCAACAGAGTGAGACTCCAACTCCAAAAAAAGTGGTTGGGATGGCCGGGTGCTGTGGCTCACGCCTATAATCCCAATACTTTGGGATGCTGAGCCAAGAGGATTGCCTAAACCCAGGAGTTTGAGACCAGCCTGGGCAACTTGGTGAGACCTTGTCTCTACAATATATCAAAAAACTAGGGGGGCATGGTGGTGCTTGCCTGTAGTTTTGTCTACTTGGAAGGCTGAGGCGGAAGGATTACCTGAGCACAGAAGGTCAAGGCTGCAGTGGCCATGAGATTGCCACTACACTCCAGCCTGGGTGACAGAGTGAGACTCTGACTCAAAAAAAAAAGTTGTTGGGATGACTAAGTTAACATTTCCTATTTAGTGCCTGACTCACAGTAAATACTCAATCTGGCCATCACCCCTTTTCCTTACAATGTCCCATCCTGTTCAGAACTTAGCTCTTAGGATGCCTTTGCAAAGCCTTCCCTCCCTCATTCCACCAGGGAGGTAGTTGACGTCTTTTCTCTTCGTTGTCCCATTGTACTTAGTCCGTATCTACTAGTTTTTGTGTTTTGAGTTGGACTCTCACTCTGTCGCCCAGGCTGGAGTGCAGTAGCACGCTCACGGCCACCACAGCCTCAACCTGCTGGGCTCAGGCGATCCTTCTGTCTCAGCCTTCCAAGTAGCTGGAACTACAGGTGCGCGCTACCATGCCCAGCTGATTTTTTGATTTATTGTAGAGATGAGGTCTCGCCAAGTTGCCAGGCGGGTCTTGAACCCGCGGGCTCAGGCAGTCCACTCACCTCAGCCTCCCAAAGGCACGGGATTACAGGCTGAGCCACTGAGCCCGGCGTTTCTTGCATTCTTTACATTGCCACCAGTCATGGGTTGGAAGCCATTCCTCTTCTCAAAAGCTTACCTGCAAAAGAAAACTCCAAATTCCCTACCATGCATTGAGGTTTTCCAAGATTTGGGCCCCGGTTATTTCTAATCTTATCTTCCACTATGTCCTTCAATAAACTCAGTGTTCCAGATTACACTAGCCTCTTCCTTCAATATATTCCTTCACCTCCACTTCTTTTTTAAAATTTTATTCTTTTTTTTTTTTTTTGAGTTGGAGTCTCACTCTGTCACTCAGACTGGAGTGCAGTGGCATGCTCCCGGCCACCACAGCCTCGACCTGCTGGGCTCTGGTGATCCTTCCGCCTCTGCCTTCCAAGTAGCTGGAACTACAGGCGCGCTACCACTCCCGGCTAATTTTTTATTTATTGTAAAGACGAGGTCTCGCCAAGTTGCCTAGGTGGGTCTCAAAACTGTGGGCTCAGGCAATCCATTCGCCTCGGCCTCCCAAAATGCTGGGATTACAGGCTGAGCCACCAGGCCCAGCCAGTTTTATTAGAAAATATAGTTTATTTAGAAAGCAAATTGGGGCCGTGTTTGGTGGCTCAGCCTGTAATCCCAGCACTTTGGGAGGCCAAGGTGAGTGGATTGCCTGAGCCTGCGGGTTCAAGACCCGCCTGGGCAACTTGGCGAGATCTCATCTCTACAACAAATCAAAAAAATTAGCCGGGCGTGGTAGCACGCACCTGTAGTTCCAGCTACTTGGAAGGCTGAGGCGGAAGGATCGCCGGAGCCCAGCAGATCGAGGCTGCGGTGGCTGGGAGCAATCACTGCACTCCACTCTGGGCGATGGAGTGAGACTCCAACTCAAAATAAATAAATAAATAAAAGTTGGTTGAAAACATGAGGGTGTCTAGAGTTTCTTTTTCTTCTTTTTTTGAGTTGGGGTCTCACTCTCATCCAGGGTAGAGTACAGAGGCACAATCAAGTTACCACAGCCTTGACCTCCTAGGCTCAGGTGATCCTTCTACCTCAGCCTCCCAAGTAGCTGGGACTACAGGTGTATGCTACCATGCCAGACTAATTTTTTCTTCTGTGACAAGGTCTTACTATGTGCCCGGGCTGATCTCAAACTCGTGGGCTCAAGCAATCCTCCCACCTTGGCCTCCCAAAGTGCTAGGATTTACAGACATGATGTACAACCTCAGCCCTAAGTAATTTTGAAGGTGTTTCAGGGGAACAAAAGAGCACTATTAGTACCACTAGGGTCCACATATTGCCTCTTCTGCTCTATGCTGTGACACATTAATCAGTATTTTATAATCGCGTGTATGAGCACATAGACTCCGTGAGTGCAGGAATGCCTTTTTTTTTTTTTTTGAGTTGCAGTCTCATTCTGTTGCCCAGACTGGAGTGCAGTGGCCGCTCCCGGTCACTGCAGCCTCGACCTGCTGGGCTCCGGCGATCCTTCTGCCTCAGCCTTCCGAGTAGCCGGAATTACAGGCACGCACTACCATGCCCAGCTGATTTATCTATTGTAGAGATGAGGTCTCACCAAGTGTCCCAGGTGGGTCTTGAACCCGCAGGCTCAGGCAATCCACTCACCTCAGTCTCCCAAAGCGCGGGATTACAGGCTGAGCCACCGAGCCTGGCCAGGAATGCCTTTTTTGTTCAAGCCACTAGCACATCTACAGTATGGTCTGATTTACATTAGCTGCATGATAAATGTCCCACAAATTGAACACGTACTTCTCAGGGGGAAGAAAATTTCCTTTTTTTTTTTTTTGAGTTGGAGTCTCACTCTGTCACCCAGACCGGAGTGCAGTGGCATGCTGAAGGCCATGGCAGCCTCGACCTGTTGGGCTCAGGCGATCCTTCTGCCTCAGTCTTCCAAGTAGCTGGAAACCACAGGCACGTGCCAACACGCCCAGCTAATTTTTTGATTTATTGTAGAGACGAGATCCCGCCAAGGTGCCCAGCCTGGTCTCGAACCCGTAGGCTCAGGCAATCCTCTCACCTCAGCCTCCCAAAGTACTGGGATTATAGGCATGAGCCACTGCACCCAACCCTTTTTCTTATGACAGAGAAAAGGTGGCAGCAAGTGCTTAGGAAGAAAGTTGATCAGAGTCCAACTACTACAGCAAGTGTATAGTTTGTTCAGGTTTCCTTCCTCGTGTTTCTTTTTTTTTTTTCTTTTTTTTGAGTTGGAGTCTCACTCAGTCGCCCAGACTGGAGTGCAGTGGCCGCTCCCGGCCACCGCAGCCTCAACCTGCTGGGCTCCGGTGATCCTTTCGCCTCAGCCTTCCAAGTAGCTGGAACTACAGGCACGCGCTGCCACGCCCGGCTAATTTTTGATTTTTATTGTAGAGATGAGGTCTCGCCAAGTTGCCCAGGCGGGTCTCGAACCCTTGGGCTCAGGCAATCCACTCACCTCGGCCTCCCAAAGGCACGAGATTACAGGCTGAACCACCGAGCCCGGCTGTGTTTCCTTTCTTGATTAGGAGACACTGAGGGGCGGACACTTCCTGCCTGCAGTAGAACTCCAGATTCCAAAGCAAAGGTGCCTGGGGGACCAGGGAAAAGAGTACATGCACTGTAAAAAGTATCCCAGAGAGGCAGGAGCACTCGGGAGACTCCGGGAAGAACACAACTCAGATCACTGGAGAGAGCACTCCGGCTGCCATAGACCAGAAGGCAGGAGGGCACACAGGGCCCAGCAGACGTGAGGCATACACACAGCCTCCTGAAAGTTTAGCTCTAGGATATGGTGGGTAACAAAGCTAAGGAAGAAGGAAGGGGAGTTAAGGCAAGAGAAAGGCAAAAGCAGAGGGGGAAACCTTGCAAGAAGGGGAGTGAGGATGCACTAAGAATGCAGAGTTGAGTAAAAGGTTTATTAGTGCAGTCAACACCATGGAACACCACGTCCAACACAACCAGCGACCTGCAGAGACACTAGTGCAAAGGGTGGGGAAGCTTTCACTGAGCTCCCTGGCTCCATCTGGGGGGGAGAACAGGAGAGTGGGCCTGGGTAAGGCAGGCAGGGGAGAGGGGAGTGGAAGAAATGTAGTAACCAGACTAGGTATAGCAGCGGTTTCAAATTCCTGAGCACAATGTCCTGGAGCTGGAACATACCCTGCTCCCCTCAGCTGTACCCTCCAGCCCAATCCCAGTGGAGCCATGACCCAACTTCCCAGGCCTACTGAAGCTGACCTGGAATAAACCTCCAAGAAGAGAGGAAGCCATTTGATGGTGGGGAGGAGGCTTTCTTCAACCCACTCCCACCTGCATATTAGAATAATCACACCCATTACCCCTACCCCTTACTCTACCAGTCACTGAGGAATCAAAGTATGTCCCTGGTAACCTGAACCTGAAGTCCATGGGGTGTGTGGGTGAGGCCCAGCACAGTCTGTACTTAGAGACACAGAGATACAATTTCTGCCCCATTTGCCTGGTAAAGCTTAGAGCCCAGCTATATTGCTCCAAGGAAATTTGGGGGAGGGGAGATTGCCTTCAAAATTAATACACTCAATCCAGAGTTTCATGATGAGACCCTGGAAGGATTAGGAGCACATTTATCCAGAGGGCACAGGCATCAATGCTGGACCATTTGTCCATTACAGAAGCAGAGGAAGCGCCTCATTTCAGATGTGGTTACGGAGGGTTGGGGCAGACATCATAAGTTCAGCTGAGGACTCCTTTAGCTCTTCCTATATTAAAGCCAAAGGTTGTGCTGAAAAGGAAAAATAGAAAACAGACCCCATCCCTGTCCCACCCTATCCAGAATCCCCATAATAGGAACAGCAAAAGAAAGGTTTTAATTTTTGTTTTTTGTTTTTTTCTTTCTTAAAAAAAAAGTAAATAAATTAAATTGCCAACAGTGTGGCTGGGCTAGAAACTGGGGTAGCCATAACCAGGCCATTCTACAAAAAAAAAAGGTGGGAAGTGGGTAGAGCTTGTGAAATATAAACAAACAGTGGCCAAAGGACATTACCAAAATAACTAACTACAATCACAGGGCTAGAGAGGGGTCTACAGAACCACTGTGGCCCATGCCATAAGACCAGTGTCTGCCCTATTTCAGCAAAAGCCACAGAGCAGCTTCTTGCCGAATATTCCAATCCCAGGAGACTAGCCCCTGCCCCAACCCCGTCATACCCTAATTATGAAAATGTGTAGGAAAGAAGAACTCATCTGGACACATGCAGCCCAACCTGCAAGCCCGCAGACTCGGTGGGAGCGTGCACCTGGAAGGTGGGCTGAACAGGGATATTGCTTGGCACAGAGGTCCAGTCTTCCCCTAAGGGCCACCGGGATGGCCAGTTACTGGCCTCACTATTTCTAGGGTTTTGGTTCCATCCCTAGCATCTCTTCAGGATGTCTACCCCCCAGAGCTGCCCTCAAAATGCCACTTGGAGGCAACAGGCCTGCCTGCCCAGATCCCTGGTTTTGGAAGAGAGGGACAGTTCCTCACTCCACTGTGATCCTTCAGGCAAAATGAATCTCTCTGTGCTTTCTGAAAATATCTGGAACCAGGAACCCTAGGCAGGAAAATATAGAGGTGGGAGCTTTCCTGCCCAGACTGAGAATTGACAGACATTTTAGGGAAAGAATATGGCAAAGGGAGGAAATCTGGCTTTCCCACCCAAAAGGCTGAGCACAGTGCCCCAGGGCCCTTTAGTGCCAGAAGGCAGGGGTGTGTGGCACAAGTGGGAGCCGCGGTGGGAAGGACAGTGGGGAGGGCTTGGGGCCCAGTGCCGGAGCGGCGGGACTCCAGATTCCATCTCTTCCTGAGAGCCCGTCCAGTTCTCCTATATCTCCTCCACGCCATGCGCAAATATCATGACAAGGCCCGGCTCCTGCACCATGTCGTCACCCATGTGCTGGTTCTCACAGGCCATCACGACAACGGCCTGCTTGCCGGGGATGCGCTTGGCCACGTAGTTCTCATAGTAGCGCCGGTTCATCTGTCTTGTCTCCAGTGTGGCCAAACCCTGGGGCCAGCTCCGCTCGTGGGCATTTTCAATCAGCTCATTGACAATAGAGGCAGGACAGCCACTCTCCACCAGGGAGCGCTTGATTACAGCCTGGAGCACAGCGTCTGGAGTTGAGATCATCCCTCCCCAGCGGGTCACTCTTGCCGGCTGAAGGGAGTTCACCCACCTGTGTGGAGGAGTCAGGTGGTCATTCCAGCTCATCCCCTTTCTCTGCATTGGCTTTTTCTCCTAACAGCAAAGACTGCCCACTCTGCACTCAGCTTAACTCTGCTTCCTTCTTTCCTTCCATCACTGGCTCAGTGACCCCAAATCTTTCCTTAGTTGGTCCCAACTGAGTCACCACGTTACTCACCAGATTAAATTCCACAGGTTTGCATTCTGTCCCTGTTATTTTTCTTTGAAATTCTGATACTTAGCATACATAGTGCCTGGCACATAGCAAGAGCTCAACAAATGTTTACTGGATGAGGCAATTATTTCTCTACTCTGTTCCACTCAGCTTATTTGCCTATATATACTGATTCACACTCACAGTCTATGAGCTACATAGGACTCCGGAACAGATTCCTTGCTAAGCCACAGTTCACAGAGGCACAGACCCGTGTGTTCACAGGGGGAGCTTATTGCCCACAGGCACGTAGTTATTTGCATATGTGGGACTGTTCCCCCCAAGTCTCTGGGCCTCGGGACTCCAGAATGGAAAAGGACCTTAGACTTTGCTTGTTATTGCTTCATTTTAGAGATCACTTTCCTGACTTGCACTCTGCATCCCCGTCCCGGGGCTGTAAGCTACTTGAAGACAGGGACGATGTCTGTTTCTTTTTGGCCCTCCTAGCCCTCCACCGCCTTTAATACAGGGCTCTGTACATGGTGGGTACTCACCTAATTCTGGATAAACTGCCTCCTTGGGCAGGCCTTCCCGTCCATCCACCCACGTGCATACGATCCTGTATGGAGCTGAGGGTTATCCTCTTCTCCTCTGCCCCTGTCCCTCACCCCAACGTCCGAGAAGTGGTGGCCCCAGTCCAGCTCTCCTACTGCCCTCCTTCTGCCACTCTGCTGCTCCCCCTTTCCAGCCCTGCTGCCAGGACATGGAGCGAGTGACTCCACGCCGCGAAGGACACTCACTCTAGAATCTCGTTGTATTCAATTGTCTCCTCCAGGTTCTGAAGGTTGGGGTTGACGCTGCGGATTGCACGCATGTATGCCTTTAGCAGCTGGATGTCTCGCTTCTGTTGGGGACAGAGAACCAGGGATGATGGTCAAGGCAGCCGGCAGGCAAAAGACAAAAGTGGATCTGAGCAAGAGGGCAACTGAGAGGTGTGAGTCACAAGCAGATCATAAGCTTCAGGAAGGTAGGGCAGGACTTGTCTCGTTCTCAGCTGTCTTCTCAGTGCTTAGCAAAGTGCCTTCCCAGAGAAGACATTTGACAAATGTTAGGTAAATGAGTAACATGAATGGAATGGAAGGAAGCCAACGAGAGCTCCAGCAGGATCCCTTGCTAAGCAGAGGCACAGACCTGTTGTTCACAGGGGGAGCTTATCACCCATAGGCATGCAGTTATTTGCACATGTAGGACTATTTCCCCAGGTCTCTGGGCCTACCTGCTCCGCCAGCTGGTGTTTGTGTTCAGCTGACGTCTTCTCCAGCTCTGCGATGCGCGTCTGCTGCTGCTGCACCACTGAGCGCAGGTGCTTAATGCAATTGTGGTTTGGCAGCTCATCTTTGGGCATCTCCAGGCTGCAGGCGAGGGTAGAGAAATCACAGAACAGGCACAGTCAATGGGACGATGGGCAAAAGGCCTCTACTGTGGCGGAAAATTCCTGAGTAGATGTTCTCCTTCCCCAGATTTCTAGCATTCCTGCTGGCCTCCCTCCTGTGTGCTCCTTCCCCTTTTTTCTCCCAAGCCCTCCCTGCCCCTGTGTACTTTCGTTGAACTTCATTCCCCCTCCAAGACACGGGGTTCACCTACTGGGTGGTTCTCCTTCCTAGAGTCTGCCTGTGTACTTTACTTCTTCTGAGAAGCCCTAGATTCACAGCCATAGCCATCAACATTTAAACAAATATTTCACACCCCACCAAAAAAAAAAATCAGGGCAAGAGGAAACATGAGAAGTCTGGATTGACAGCACTCAGCCTGACACAGAGAAAGCATCCCTGGCCTGAAAGGGGAAAATCCAGTGAGTCAATCTTTAGTGTTGTTGCAGATTGCTGAACTGCTGTCCCCCGCTTTTTTGTCTTGAGTCGGGGGTCCCACTCTGATGCTCAAGCTGGACTGCAGCGGCACAATCACAGCTCACGGCAGCCTAGACCTCCTGGGCTCAGGCAATTCTTCCACCTCAGTCTCCCAAGCAGCTGGAACTATAGGCATGCACAACCACACCGGCTAATTGTCTTGTATTTTTTGTAGAGATGAGGTCTTGCTATGTTGCCCAGGCTGGTCTCAAGCAATCCTCCTACCTCAGCCTCCCAAAGTCGTACCTGGGATGACAGGTGCGAGCCACCGCACCCAGCTTGTCCCCACTCCTTTTTTAAAGCAAGAGCAAAAAGGTCACAGTTGGAAAAGAAGCAGGAAAGTGAGATCCCAGGGCAGGAGCACTAAGAACACTCCTTGCCTGCATACACACATGCCTCCTCAGCTAGGAGCAGGGCATCCAGAGGCAGGCTTAAGTGGGAAGCTCTTCTCTGTGTGGGGCAGAGGAAGGGAAGGAGTCTCACCCACAGCCCTGTTCACAGGTCACAGGCCGCTTCGGGTTGTGCTCACAGTCGCTGAGGTGAGACATGAGGTTGTCAAGCCGGACGACGGCACTGCAGCCAAACACAGCGTTGTCGCAGGCAATCTGCAGCTTTGACAACATGTTCCGCATGATCCGCGGTACAGGGCGCAGGTGAGCGACCGTCACAACGCTACGGTCCACCGGACATGTCTGTTGCTGAGAGAACCACTGGGTGATGCAGGCGTTGCAGAAAGCATGCTCACAGTGAGGTGCCTAGAAGGAAAAGCGGGGCAAAAGGGACGCAAGGGGATTAGCGGGAGCTAAGAACCTGAATGTGATCACTGTACAAAGCCAATCAAGCCCCTGTGCAGCTGCTAGGACCAGAGGTCCCTGAGGTCATGGCACAGTATAGCTCCACCACAGCAAGGCATTGTGGGGGACAGGCTTCAGATGTGTTTCCTGTGCTCAAGATTACAAATGAGTTGTGAAACAAGACAAACAAGTAAAAAGTTATATAACAATAAGAATGATAAATAACATTCCAGGAGCAATAGGAGAGATGACATAAGGCAGGCAATTATCAATTACAACTGAATTGCATACACAATAATTGCCAAAAAAGTCCAGAGAAGGGTGAGGTCTCTTCAGACTGGGTCAATCACTGCAGGTATTTACAGAGAGGATGGAATTTGATACAGGTCTTAAAGGACGATTCAGACTACAGATGTAGAGAGGAGGGGGACAGAGTTACCGGCGAATGCGCAGTGTAAGACAGCTAACCAAAAAAAGCCTGGGACTCCTATTGAGAGAACTCTTTGTGGGCCCAAGTTCTTATTTTATGAGGACTGACCTGAGGAGTTGCCCTGAGGCCCAACAGCCATGCCTAGCCTCCTAGGAAGGGCTGGGTTTTTTTCATACAATCATATTCTTTCCTGTTTCATAAAGATTAATTTCAGCCTACTTCCCTGATAACTCAGGCAACTTCTAAAATTAATCCCTCAGAGCGTGAGAATCCCTGGCTTTGTGCAGATACCATCTGGCACCTAGCATGGAACACAGCAGGTGCCTGGCAGATGCTGATAAATGAGTGAACAGAGTGCCTACTATGTCCAAAACACTTTACTAGGTGCTTAAGAGAAAAAGAGATGCGACAGTTTCTGCCCTCACGATGCTCAGACACCAAAGACTGAAACACAGCAGGCTTTCATAAGGAAAGAAGACATTTGCAGTATCACCCATCCAACTGTCAGTAGATTTTTTTCCCTCAAAGACATACCTGATTCTTTTCAAAGTCTCACAGACCATATCTCTAAACAAAATCCTTAATTTGTCTACTTTTCTCCAACTTTTCTGCCACTGACCCAGTTCCAGTTGCCCTTACCTCTCCCCTGAATTATTAAGTGTCTTCTAGCTGAGTTTGTTCCTTTATAATCCATTCTACATGTAGCAGCATGAGTGTTCATTAAAAAGGCAAAGCAAGCCGGGCTCGGTGGCTCAGCCTGTAATCCCAGCACTTTGGGAGGCTGAGGTGAGAGGATTGTCTGACCCCGGGGGTTCGAGACCCACCCAGGCAACCTGGTGAGACCTCATCTCTACAATAAATCAAAAACTAGCTGGACGTGGTAGCACGCACCTGTGGTTCCAGCTAATTGGAAGGCTGAGGTGGAGGGATCGCCGGAGCCCAGTGGGTTGAGACCGCAGTGGCTGTGAGCAGCCACTGCACTCCAGTCTGGGCAACAGAGTGAGACTCCAACTCAACAACAACAAAAAATTTCTTTTTAAGTTTTCTTTTTTTTTTGAGTTGGAGCCTAAATCTGTCGCCCAGGCTGGAGTGCAGTAGCATGCTCATGGTCACCACAGCCTCGACATGCTCTGCTCAGGTGATCCTTCCACCTCAGACTTCCAAGTAGCTAGAACTATAGGTATATGCCACCAGGCCTGGCTAATTTTTTTTTATTTACTGTAGAGATGAGGTCTCACCAAATTGCTCAGGCTGGTCTCAAACCTGTGGGCTAAGGCCATCCTCTCACCTCGGCCACCTAAAGTCCTGGAATTATAGGCATGAGCCATCATGCCCAGCCTTTTTAAAGTTTTCAAGCAAAGTTTATTTAGAAACTAAATTAGGCCGGGTTTAGTGGCTCAGCCTGTAATCCCAGCCCTTTGGGAGGCCAAGGTGAGTAGATTACCTGAGCCTGCGGGTTTGAGACCCACCTGGGCAACTTGGCGAGACCTCATCTCTATAATAAATCAAAAATTAGCTGGGTATAAATAGCACACGCTTGTAGTTCCAGCTACTTGGAAGGCTAAGGTGGAAGGATCGCCAGAGCCCAGCAGGTCAAGGTTGCGGTGGCAGGGAGCGTGCCACTGCACTCCAGCCTGGGTGACAGAGTGAGACTCCAACTTTAAAAATTAATTAAATAGCCAGGCTCGGTGGTTCAGCCTGTAATCCCGCACCTTTGGGAGGCTGAGGTGAGTGAATTGCCTGAGCCCGCGGGTTCAAGACCTGCCTGGGCAACTTGGCGAGATGTCATCTCTACAATAAATCAAAAACTAGCCGGGCGTGGTAGTGCATGCCTGTAGTTCCAGCTACTTGGAAGGCTGAGGCGGAAGGATTGCCGGAGCCCGCGGGTTCAAGACCTGCCTGGGCAACTTGGCGAGACCTCATCTCTACAATAAATCAAAAATTAGCTGGGCATGGTAGTGCATGCCTGTAGTTCCAGCTACTTGGAAGGCTGTGGCGGGAGGATTGCTGGAGCCCAGCAGGTCGAGGTTGCAGTGGCCGGGAGCAGCCACTGCACTCCAGCCTGGACGACAGAGTGAGACTCCAACTCAAAAATAAATAAATAAATAAATAAAATCAGAGGGATTGGTGGCTCAGCCTGTAATCCCAGCACTTTGGGAGGCTGAGGCAAGTGGATTGCCTGTGCCCGAGGGTTCAAGACCTACTCAGGCAACTTGGCGAGACCTGTCTCTATAATAAATCAAAAAAAAATTAGGCATGGTAGTGCAAGCCTGTAGTTCTGGCTACTTGGAAGGGTTAGGCGGAAGGATCACCGGAGCCCAGCAGGTCAAGGTTGCGGTGACCAGGAGCGTGCCACTGCACTCCAGTTTGGGTGACAGAGTGTGACTCCAATTCAAAAAAAAACAAACAAAAAGAAATTAAAGAGGAAGAGAAGATTCACCTGCCCAAGGTAGGGGAGAGGGCCAAAACCAAGAAACATAGCAGCCACAGCTCAAAGAGCCACATGGACACACCAGAATTTAACAAAGCAACAGTCAAAGGTCTTTTTTTTTTTTTTTTAGGGGCAGGGTCTTGCTCTGTTACCCAGGCTGAAGTGCAGTGGAGCAATCATGGCTTACTGCAGCCTCGAACTCCAGGGCTCAAGAGATCCCCTGCCTCAGCCTCCTGATCAGATGGACTACAGTTGTACACCACCACACCCGGCTCCACTTAAAACTTCACAGTGGGGCTTCTGCACTAGACTGGAGTTCAGTCTCTTTCTTTCTCTCTCTCTCTCTCTCTCTTTCTCTCTTTCCTCTTCCCCCCAACCGCCGATGCCGTCTCCACCTTTGGGGTACCCTGAACCCGGCTGGAGCAGGTCTCAGGCAATTCTATTGTGTATTTCACTGAGAAATTTCCAACTTGCACGCTTGTGTTTTCTCTTTAATGTCAATGGGAACAACTTAAGTTTTCTTTCATCTTCTTTCCAAGGCAATTTGGCAATCTCCTTTCCTTGTGAAAGTGTTTTTCTTACTTTCATATACATAAACAGTTAAACAAACAAACAAAAGAACAAATAAAAAAAATAAAAAGTGAAAAAAAAAAACACAAAAAAACTTCACAGTAGGCCAGGCATGGTGGCTCCAGCCTGTAATCATAGCACTTTGGGCGGCTGAGGTGGGAAGATCACTTGAGGCCAGGAGTTTGAGGTTACAGTGAGCAAAGATCATGCCCTGCACTCTAGTCTGGGCAACACAGCAAGACGCTACCTCTAAAAAACAAAAACACGCTTTACAGTGGCTTCCCACGGTACTTTTGCAAATCCACACTCTTACTCAGGACCTGTAGAAACTGCTTGGCATGTCCTGTGCCTTCAACCTTTCCTCACCTTACCCCATGTTCCCGGCATGTGTAGACCATATTCCCCCTACACCACCTTTATGGTGCTTTATCTGCTGCACAGCTTGCCTTTCCTTTGCACACTCTATCTGTGCACCTTACTTCCTCGAGAAGCCCTTGATTCACAGCCCCCTCTGGCTTTCTTTCTGTTCTTTGACCACACTCAGCTCACTCCTGCCTCAGGGTCTTTGCTTTGTTCTTCCTTTAGCTCTTAACACAAATGGTCCCTTAACATTCAGGGCTCAGCTCAACTGTCAATTTTTTTTTTTTTTTTTGAGTCAGAGTCTCACTCTGTTGCCCAGGCTGGAGCGCAGTGGCATGTTTTCACGGCCACCGCAACCTCGACCTGCTGGGCTCAGGCGATCCTTCCACCTCAGCCTTCCAAGTAGCTGGAACTACAAGGGCGTACTACCTCGCCTGGCTAATTTTTTGATTTATTGTAAAGACGAGGTTTCGCCAAGTTCCCCGAGTTGGTCTTGAAACCCTGAGCTCAGGCAATCCTCTCATCTTGGCCTCCCAAAGTACTGGGATTACAAGCTTGAGCCACTACACCTGGCCTCAACCATCACCTCTTTCAAAACCATCCTATCAGCCGGGCTCGGTGGCTCAGCCTGTAATCCCGCGCCTTTGGGAGGCTGAGGTGAGTAGATTGCCTGAGCCCGTGGGTTCGAGACCCACCTGGGTAGCAAGACCTCATCTCTACAATAAATCAAAAAATCAGCCGGGCGTGGTAGCTCATGCCTGTAATTCCGGCTACTTGGAAGGCTGAGGTGGAAGGATCACCGGAGCCCAGCAGGACGAGGCTGCGGTGGCTGTGAGCGGCCACTGCACTCCAGTCTGGGTGATAGAGTGAGACTCCAACTCAAAAAAAAAAAAAAAAAACCATCCTATCTAAGCCTGCCACCCCTGCAGTATACGGGGCCCCCTAACCATAGGTACATTCATATAAACATAGATACATGTATATACACATTTACATATGTGTACACATACATGTTTATATTTGCTTGTATCTGCCTAAATACACACTGGAAGGATACCAACAAACTAATAAAAAGTTACCTATGGGAGGGGCTAGTGGGATAAGGTCAAGGACAGAAGTGAGGATGGAAGGTATTCTCACTGTACACCTTTTTATACTATTTTGAATTCTGAACAATGTAAATGTATCACTTATTCAAAAAAATACATAAATATGACATGGGGAAATCAGTATCCCCAGCTGGAGTCTTCTAACCCTGGATCACAAGGGCTGCCTGTCCTGCTCCTTGGAAGGTAAAGCCTGGTGTCAGGTGGGTGGCTTCTGACTACTAGACTGTCACCAACTACTCCTCACTCTGCCTAAGGGACTTGCCGCACAGGACAGTGCCAGAAAACAGACAAGGCCCTGCCAGGGCGAGGAGGGAAGCCGACACGCCTATAACCTCTCGACACTGCGAACTGATGACTTGCTCCACACTCATCTAACATGCTTCTAGAGGCCATGGGATGCAAGGCCTGAAGAGAGGATAGGTCCAGGGTTGGCTGCCCCGGAACACAATCTGCACTGTATTCAGTTCAAGCTCCTGTGCTCCTTTGGGTGGCTGGCAACTGGGAGGAAAAAATAAACTCAAAGGCTCAAGGGGAGCCCCTGGGAGACATAAGCAGTGAATGGGGGAAGGGCATGAGACCTCACTGCATGGTGGCCTGGTCTGGAAAACGAGATCATCTCTAGATGGCCAGGAGTGACAGGGATGAATTGGTATTTACAGAAAGAGGGCAATAAGGATCATGCAGGATGATGGCCTATCAATACAACTGCTAAGGAGCTGCCTCACTCAATGCACGTGCTTGGTAATCATGAGCTTCTCCTCATACTTGCCCCAGGAAGATACAACTGACTGTGGTCTAGCAAGGCTAGCAGAGAAATGACCTGCTGAAGGAGGCAGCTTTCATCTCAAAATGCAGAATGCATGGCGGCATCATGGCTTTTTCAGGAGATCCCAGGAAGACAAAGATCAGTATGGACAGTTCCTCACTTCCAGTTTCTTAGACAGCAGGCAGACAGAAGAGGCCTGCAGGAAGACTCCATGGTTACCTGAAGCACTGCGTCGTCAAAATACAGAGGAAGTGCCATCAGGGACAGGAAGATGGAACCTAGGCAGAGTCCCTGCAGAGGAAAGGAAGCTATGGAGCCACTGTCAGGACGCAAACAAGCAGCTGACCACTTTACAGGAGAAACTCTCCAGTGAACTAGGGAAAAAAACTGGAACCACTGAATCTTGTGGCATCCACCTTTTGAGACTCTGGAAGGGCCTCTTCTGTTCTCCTTGTAGCTGCCACCGCTCCCCTGTGCAAACCTACATGTGGATGCAGGGTGTGGGGCGCAGATGGGTGCACACATTCACACAGTGATTTCCGTGGGTCCCACTGCCCATGAATATTTTCTATTAGTTCCACTGACACGTCGCCCACCGAATCTGCCATCAGATCACTCACCTGTACTGGCTCCTCCAAAACTCCACTGCAAATAGGGCAGATAAGGTCTTCGTCAACATCCCCCTGGAAACGGGTTACATCATACCCCATGTCTCATCACTGAAACCCAGGTCCTGAAAGGAAAAGAGGAAGAGGAGGCTAGTTCTTCAGAAGAAGCCTACAAGTACGTGGCAAACATAAACTATTGGATACATCCATTCTTTGGTCCAAGAAAATACTGAGAGCTATTATGTGCCAGTCATGAGGGGAAGCTGACTCAAGAAACTTAATTCTAATGAGGGAAGAGATTACATAAGCACATATTTAAAATAACACGTGGCTGGGCGCAGTGGCTCACACCTATGACCCCAGCACTTTGGAGACTGAGGTGAGAGGATTGCCTGAGCCCATGGGTTCGAGAGCAGCCTGGGTGACTTGGTGAGACCTCATCTCTACAGTAGATCAAAAAATTAGTCAGGTGTGGTGGCACACGCCTGTAGTTCCAGCTACGTGGAAGTATCGCCTGAACCCAGTAGGTTGAGACTGCAGTGGCCGTGAGAATGCCACTGTACTCCAGCCTGGGTGACAGAGTGAGACTCCAACTCAAAAATTAAATAAAATAAAATACAACGTGGTAAGTAATTACCTCCCAGGTTGGAGTGCAGTGGCACAATCATAGCTCACTGTAACCTCAAACTCTGGGCTCCACCACCCAAGCAGCTGGGACTACAGGCACATACCACCACACTCAGCTAATTTTTAAATTTGTTGTAGAGATGGGATCTCGCCATTGGGAATGGTGGCTCATACTTGTAATTCCAGCACTTTGGGAGGCAGAGGTAAGAGAACTGCCTGAGTCCAGGGGTAACTTGGCAAGACCTCATCTCTACAATAAATCAAAAAATTAGCCAGGCGTAGTGGTGCACACCTACAATTCCAGCTTCTTGGGAGGAAGAAGAATCACCCAAGCCCTGCAGGTCAAGGTTGCAGTGGGCATAAGCATGCCACTGCATTCCAGCCTGGGTGACAGACTCCAACTCAAACAAAACAAACAAAAAAATTAGCTGGGTGTGGTGGTGTGCACCTGTGGCTCCAGCTATTTAGAAGGCTGAGGCAGAAGGATTACCTGAGCCCAGTAGGCTGAGGCTGCAAGTAGGTGTGAGCATGCCACTACATTCCTGCCTGGGTGACAGAGTGAGACTCTGAAACAAAAAAAGGAGATGGGATCTCGCCATATTGTCAGACTGGTCTCAGACTCTTGGCCTCAAGCAGTCTTCCCACCTTGGCCTCCCATAGTGTTAAGATTTTTTTTTTTTTTTTGAGTTGGAATCTTGCTCTGTTGCCCAGGCTAGAGTGCATTGGCACAATCACAGCCACTTCAGCCTCAACCTGCTGGGCTCAGGTGATCCCTCCGCCTCAGCCTACCAAGTAGCTAGAACTACAGGCAAATGTCACCATGCCCGGTTAATTTTTTAATTTATTGTAGAGATGAGGTCTTGCCAAACTGTCCAGGCTGGTCTCGAACCCCTGGGCTCAGGCAATTCTCTCACCTCTGCCTCCCAAAGTGCTGAGATTACAGGCATGAGCCATCACACCTGGTCAGTATTAGGATTATGTGCATAACCCACCACACCTAGCCTATTTTTTGAATAGATAAAATGAGTATAATAGAAATTACCCTCAAGGAATCATCCACTAAGAGATAATGCATATAAAACATTTAACAAAGCGCTGGCTGGCACATAGGCATTCAGTATATGATAGTAACCATTATTTATGTACACATCTAATTTCCACTACATTTTTTAAAATTCCCAGCTGGGCACGGTGGCTCATACCTCTAATCCCAGCACTTTGGGAGACAGAAGCAAGAGGACTGCCTGAGTACGAGAGTTCAAGACCAGACTAGACAACTTGGTGAGTCCTCCTATCTACAGTAATTTTTTTTTTTTTGAGTTGGAGTCTCACTCTGTTGCCTAGACTGGAGTGCAGTGGCCGCTCCCGGTTACCGCAGCCTTGACCTGCTGGGCTCCGTGATCCTTCCGCCTCAGCCTTCCATGTAGCTGGAACTACAGGTGCGTGCTACCATGCCCAGCTAATTTTTGATTTATTGTAGAGACGAGGTCTCGCCAA